TGGTCAACAACAAGCACAAACACCCTGTCGAAGAGCCCAAACATGTCCATGCGTGGGTACCGCAAGGCAGGTGGGACGAGGGAAGGGAAGCTCCCTATAGGACACGAATCAAGCGAGAGGTGTGCCGAAATGGAGGCGGGTACCGCATGCGAACATTCCCTGGGGCCGTTGGTGGAGCGCCATGTGGGTCCGCGAAACCAGTGAGGGGTGCGCCGTCGGGGCGGGTACCCCAGCGAACCCTGCCACTGGGGCCTTCGGTGGGGCTCCCAACGGTGTCACGAAACGTCTGAGGGGTGTGCCGAAATGAAGGCGGGTATCGCATGCAAGAAGCGCGTGAGGGGTGCGCCAGATTGGAGGCGGGTAACGCATGCGAACCCTGTCTCGAGGGCCTTCGGCTGAGCTTCCAAATGGGGCCACGAACCGTGAGAAAGGTCTGCCGAACTGGAAACGGGTACTGCATGCGATCCCTGCCACTGGGGCCGTCGGTGGAGCTCCCTATAGGGCCACGAACCGTGTGAGGGGTGTGCCGAAATGGAGGCGGTGGCAGCATGCGAGCCCTGCCATTGGGGCATTCAGTGGAGCTCTCTATGGGGCCTGGACACAAGTGAGAGGTGTGCCGAAATGGAGGCGGGTGCCGCATGCGAACCCTGCCACTAGGGCCTTCGGCAGAGCTCCCAGATGGGCCCACGAATCGTGAGAGGAGTGTGCCGAGATGGAGGCGCATGCCGCATGCGAGTCATGCCGATGGGGCCCTCGGTGGAGCTGTGAGGGGTGCCAACACGGGCGTGGCGACCGAGGGCCGATGGTAGTGGCGATGGTGGTGACGTTGCTGATGACGAGGGTGAGGCTGGTAGTGATGACGGCGATGCCGATGTCGCTGCTGACGATGGTGACGATAATGATGATACTGATGCTGCTGCTGATGCTGATGATGATGATGGTGGTGCTGATGATGATGATGACGATGATGATGATGGTGGTGGTGATGGTGGTGGTGATGATGATGCTGATGATGGTGGTGATGATGCTGATGATGATGCTGCTGCTGCTGATGATGATGATGATTATGATGATGATGATGATGATGATGATGATGATGATGATGATGATGATGATACTGCTGGTGATGGTGATGCTGATGAGAATTGTGATGCTCATGGTGATGCTGATGATGATGTTGCTGATGATGATGGTAATGATGATGATCATGTTGCTGAGGATGATGACGACGCAGATGACGATGACGATGCTGCTGCTGCTGATGATGATGGTGATGATGGTGGAGATGATGGTGATGATCATAGTGCTGTTGTGTTTGCTGTTGCTGTTGCTGGTGCTGTCGCTGTTGCTGTTGTTGATGTTGTTGTTGATGATGATGGTGATGGTGGAGATGATGTGCGGAAGGCAGAAGCGGGTGGAGGGAGGAGGGAGAGGAGGAGGAGGAGGAAGGGGGGGCGAGCGAGCGTGGGGCGCTGCGGGTTCAGAACCAGGACCCCGCACCACGGGACGGTCAGGGATACTTAAAGAGAGGCAGCGCCTCGGCCAGGAAGCGCTGCGGGTCGCGGCCCAGCGCCACCGCCTGCAGGCAGCTCTGCGCCAGGTCGCAGCGCTGGATCTCCGGCACCGGCCGCAGCGGCACCGCCCTGAACTGCTCCCGCGTGTAGAGCCGCAGCACTTTCCCCGCCTCGCCGGGGAGGAGGCCGGCCTCCTCCTCCTCCTCCTCCTCCTCCTCCTCCTCCTCCTCCTCCTCCTCCTCCTCCTCCTCCCCCTCCTCCTCCTCCTGCTCCTCCTCCTCCTCCTCCCCCTCCTCCTCCTGCGTGGCAGCCACGCGCGCACCTCCTCGCCTCCTCGCGCGCACGACGCCTGCACGCGTGGGGGGGCCCGCGCGCGCTCCACGCTGTCGCTCCTGCCCCCCGCCGCGGCACGAGAGCGCCCCGCACCCCCAGCCTGGCCCTCCTGTGGATGCCTGGAGGTGGGCACCAACACCAACACGGGGGGGCCTGCCTCCACAGGGAGAAGAGGAGTCTCGAGTTCGGTGCTGGTGGTAATATGTCGGCCACCTCGGAAGCCAGAATGTATGACCACCATCACCGAGATCGGGATCTTCTTCCCTCGGTGGCGGCACACCGCCGAAACTGGCATTGGTGTCAACCCCTGGGCCTGCGACTCCTGTGATGAATTTCATGCTTTCGTATCTTGATGTCAGATATCGTTGGATCTCTGGGCTGGGGGGGGGGCCGCGCCCGCGCCCCCTCACGCAAACTGAGCAGGCACCAGCGCCCCTGGGGCCCCACGCTCGCGCTCGAGCTGCGGGCGGCCGTCCCCGAGCCTCCGGTGGCAGCTCGCGGGAGTCCTCCATACCACCTTGTCGGCTCTTGCGAGTCGACGCGAAATCGACGCTACCCGACGCTAACTCGACGCGCTCGACGCGAAGCGACGCTAAATCGGCGCCATCTCATCGACTCCCAAACGCCAATCGACGCCAATCGACGCTCAAGCTGGAATTAAGAATTAAGGGGGTATACCTTGATGGCGCCCACCTTCCATTCAGGGAGCGAGCCGTTGAAGTGAGTGTCCAGCGCGATTTGAAGTGGATGAGGTTGGATGGCCATGAGGGTGCTGGGGCATTGGCGCGGGGGCGTGCGGAAGTTGGGCGGCAACTGGGGCACTTGGGACGCACATGGGGGAAGTTCGCGCGAGGCTTGGACCGCGGCTAAGGGCAGTGTTGACACGGTGTACCGCACACCAGAGGAGGAGGAGGAGGAGGAGGAGGAGGAGGAGGAAAAGGAGGAGGAGGAGGAGGAGGAGGAGGAGGAGGAGGAAGAGAGGAGAGGAGGAGGAGGAGGAGAGGGAGGAGAGGAGGAGGGAGGAGGAGGAGGAGGAGGAGGAGGAGCAGGAGGAGGAAGAGGAGGAGGAGAAGGAAGAGGAGGAGGAGGAGAAGGAGGAGGAGGAGGAGGAGGGAGGGAGGAGGAGGGAGGAGGAATTGCTACCGAAGTACAGCGCTTGGGGCCCCACGCCCGCGCTCGAGCTGCCGCCGGCCCTCCCCGGGCCCCGAGGCCTCCGGCGGGGGCCTCCCGGCCCCAGGCATCCCCCGCCGCGGCGGCGGGGCCTCGCGCTACCGCCCTCCGAAGCGGCAGCGCGCCGCGCCGCGGACCACGTCGAGTCCGCGTCGAGGCCGCGTGGCCGTCCGCGTCGCTGTCCGCGTCGAAGCCGCGTCGAAGCCGCGTCGAAGCCGCGTCGAAGCCACGTCGAATCCGCGTCGAGCCCGCATCGCACCCGCGTCGGGCACACGAAAGAGGACAGACAGGGCCCCCCGAAGATGCAACGTGCAGTGGCGGCCAGTCCACAAGAGACCTTCCACGGGAACCCAACCCTGAGGCACCAGGACGTCCATGGATGTTTGGTGAGGGCACGCCACGCTTTCCATGGCAGAAACATCGAAACCCGAGAAACCCAGGGCACCCCGGAGGCAAGCAGGGTGCCCGAAAACGGAGAACAAGTTGTCTTCATTGTCTCAATGCGTCGGATCTCTGGGCTGGGCGCAGCCCGAAACAAAACCAAATCCGCGCTTGCGCCCCCTCACGAAAAAGAACAAGTACAGCGCTTGGGTCAAGTCGGGGAATATTTAAAATAGTAGAAAATAGTCTGGGGACTAGTTTATGAATATGTTTTACCATTTGGGAATATTGTTCTAGCATTTGTTAGCTTTCGTCGAAAACCCCCCTGTAGGGGGACACGCCCGACTTCACGCTTGGGGCCCCACGCTCGCGCCAGGCCAGGGCTCCCGCCCCTCCGGGCCGGCAGGGACGATCGGGCGCACGCCGGCATGGCTCCCGGACGCGCCCGGAGCAGTGGGAAGCCGGCCCCCCGGCCCCCACAGCAGTGACTTCTGCATGCCCACGTTCTGCACTTGCTGCGAACGTGCGCAAGCGCAAGCGCCCCGTAAGCGGTGCCATGGCCAGCTGCCGCAGGGGGCCCCCGCGCGCGCGGTCCAGTTGGTCTAAAGATCCTCATGTGGGGGGGGCGGGGGGCGGACTTCGCGCGTTCACACCCTCGCGCCATGGCAAAGTCACGACGAAGGCCTTGGATAAGCTTCGGCCCCCGGGGGCCCTCGCCTGGCCTCGGACGCGTCCACGAGCGACTCTCCACAAGAAACCCAACCCTGAGACCCCAAGACTTCCATGGTTTTTGTGTGGGAATGTCGCGCTCTCCACAGCAGAACCATCGAAACCCAAGAAACCTAGGGCACCCTGGAGGCAAGTAGGGTGTTTCTTGGCATTGCATTGGTCTCCACTGCACTCTTTCCTCCCGAAACGTGGATTGGGGACCCGTGGATCTCCCGCGCGAGCGCCAGATCCACGGATCGGAGAACGTAGCCTCTGAGGGTCCTCCAAGAGGCCCCGAGAGGCCTCCAATACGCCCCCAGGAAGCCCCCCAGAGGCCCCCCCCCAAGAGTTCTCCAACAGCCCACCGAGAGGCGACCCAAGAGACCCTCAGATTCATCCAGGAGACTCCAGACCCAAGATGTGCGGGCCCCAAGATTGTACACCTCGCATCGCATTCGGCCACCTGGGGGCCCCACTGTGGTGGGCTTGCTCTCCACCGCCAGCACCAGAAGTAGGAGGGGGAGGGGGTCCTCCTCCTCCTCCTCCTCCTCCTCCTCCTCCTCCTCCTCCTCCTCCTCCTCCTCCTCCTCTTCGTCCTCCTCCTCATCCTTCACCTCCTTCCCCCCTCCAACTTATGGTGGTAGAGGTGGTGGAAAACAGGCCCATCACACTGTGCCCGCACCAAGGGTCACTCGGGCGAAAGGTCACTCGCACGTGTAGCTGAGACCCCTCCTCCTGTGGGGCCTGACCACAAGAAGCCTTCCACAAGAAACCGATCCCGGAGACCCCGGGACGTCCATGGATGTTTGGCGTGGGAACGCCACGCTCTCCATGGCAAAACCGTCGAGACCCAAGAAACCGAGACCACCCTGGAAGCAAGCAGGGTGTTTCTTGGCATGGGTTTCCATTGTGCGACCACGCACGCGCCATTTGATTTTGCTGTTGACCCTTGCACGTAATCCTATGTCTGCTGTGCTCTTGTGCGCTGCACGCAATCCTACAGCCACGAGCGAGAAATGGCGCCACGAGCCAGGTCCAGCGCAAGCTGCACTGCAGAGCCAGTGCCATGGGCTGTGGGGTACAGTAGGAGCTCGACCACAGGAAACCTCCCACATGAAACCCAACCCTGAGACCACAGGACATCCATTGATGTTTGGTGTGGGAACGTCACGCGTTCCATACCAAGACCATCGAGACCCAAGAAGCCCAGGGCGGCATCCTGAAGTCAAGCAAGGTATCTCTTGGCATGGGTTTCCACTGTAAGCCGCAACTCTTCCAAGCTTCCATGTCCTAGGTCTCGAACCGCCCTGTTGGAGGACGGATGAGGCAATATCTTCATCGAACTCAAAGTCTCCGCGTCCAAGAGATCGAACCGCTTCACACACCCTTTGCGATTTGGGGCAAAATGGGGGAAGCGCTTCGAAGCTTGGGAGGCGGGCTCGCCCCTGCATGGCAGGCCTGCTCGGGCAGCTTGCGCTGCCGAGCTTTCAGAGGAAGCACCAGCTGCACAAAAGAACGTTCGGAGCTCCGCGCTCCGAAAGAAAGTTCTCATGTTGCCTGCTCTTCGTCGAGGCTTGTTTTAAGTGGGGCATGTCCCCCTACAGGCGAAGTTTAGACGGGGAAAATACTGAAAAAATATACCGGGGCGGCCAGAAATAGTCAGAAAAAACCTCACCCGACTATCGTTTGACTGTTTCTGGATATTCCTCCTGTAGAGGGACAGGCCCGACTCAAGACCTGCGGCGCACGTCGAGGGGGACCAGCAAAACCCGACGGGCGACACGACGTTGCCGCCCGGCCCTCTGGCTCGGGCAGTCTGCGCTGCCAGGCCGCGCGGCCTCAGGAGGAGGGGAAGAAGAGGACGGGAACAGGCGTGCTACAGAAGCCGACGTCGCGCAGACAATCACATAACGGGCGATAAAAAGTTGCCGCCAGCCCTCACGGGTTCTCTATGTGCGCTGCAGCTGCTGGACCACTAAGAGGTGTTCACCGAAGGAAGCACAAAAACCAGACCGTCTACCACCCACAAGTATCAACCACATGCTGCCGCTTGACTTCACAGTTCCTTCTTCTGCTTCTTTTTTTTTTTCGCACCACCGACGGTGACCTCCTGCTGTTGCGGTGACTCGCCGGTAACGATTGTCTTGATCCTCTTTGAATCCGAAGTGGCCCCCTCACGGACAATCCAAGTTTGCTCCGACAGAGTAAAAAAGTGCTTTTCTCCACCTGGTGGTACCTCTGATGTTTCACCAAAATGCCTTTCCTCTCCCTGCTGTGGCCCATCCGGGACGAGCCAGAAACAATGCACTGTGGACTCGCCGGCGTTTTTGATTACGAGCTTTATGTGCTCGTCAATCTCGGGGGTAACAGTCTTCTTCCCACCGAATGGGTGGCCCATTGCGGCTAACTGTTCTTCTGTGTAATCATCGTTGTTCACCTGTTCCCCGTCGGCACCCGAATTTGCGTCGACGTCCCCGACGTCCCATGCACCCGCTGCAAAGACGAGACACCAGGGAAAGAAAAGAGATCGCATTGCGACCAGCCTTGGTCGAAGATTTGCCCTATCACGCCTGGAGCCGAAATGGCT